CACACATGTACCTCTATGCACGGTCATTTAGCTACAGATACATGTCTTTATCTATCTGTGTTCCATGTACTTTGTCGTATATATTTCATACTATTAGCTTGTCACGCTCACCATTAATGTTAGTGTCAATCGATGGCATTTTTAATGTCAATTACCGTCGTTATGATTGGGTCATAAGTGCAGCGGAGTCCTTGTTGCTTCGTTGCCTAGAAATTGGTTGCTTTGCTTGAGTGGCGTTCTTACGGCCGAATGTGTGCATACACTGGATTGTGGGATCATACAATGTAATATTAGTGGTGGATAGTGTCTTTGATTGCTGTATTAAACAAAAATTATTTAAACTAAGCAGAATTTTATAGCAGTTCATTTTATTTATACGAGTATCTTAATAAAAACATTTTTAAATAATTCTGGTTAGTCAATACAACCGAAAAGGTCCCTATAAAGTTGATATTGATATGCAGATGTCTGAGTTGGTGATTCATCACCTGAACTCTATTATATCTGTGGACAGTTTTAAGTCACACTAAGAATATCTGAATACGGGGCTTTATAATATGATGGATCTGATATCTTTGTGTCTGACTGTGTTTATCAGATTTCGCTGAGTGTTGGAATATTGTGATTGGCAATTATATTGACCAGTTTCAGTGCACGATCTCTAATGTATTTTTCGACTGAATCGAGATCTCTGTGTATGTGTAATTAGTATAAAAAAATATAATGAATGAATTATTATTATGTAAATACTTTTAGGTTAGGCTAAGTTATACTGGCAATTTATAAAGGAGATCCACAAAGGCCTATTCGCCCATTGCATTACCGTATAATAAATTAAAAAAATCCAAGTTTTAAAACCAACTGGAACTTTTGGCGAAGCTTAAAATGTTTTTTTAGTGTGAGTTCTTAAAGTTGATCAAGATCCTCAAAGAAGGGCGTCACCAAAGTATTGATTTGCGGGCAAAAACATTAGTCACGGTCTGTGGTTTGGACAGCCCTGCACTACTTATTCAAATTAATTACAGAGTTTTTTTTTTTTTAAATCTAAATAGTAATATCTTTTTATTTTTAATTGGGTACTTCAAAAAAAAAAGAAAAAAAGAATGACAAATTTTTATAGTTCACAAAAATGTGATAAAGAACTTAAAAAACTATGAATTTTTAAACAGAATTATTAAGGCAAAAAATGTGTTAAGTATAAAATGATATGACTTGGCTAACAGCCCAACCAGTACATAAATCCACCTATAAACTTTATATATATTGTTTTATAGGCACATGTACTTGTAGACACATCTACATACAAACGAGCAGCATTTAAGACTATTCGCCCGACACTAATGGTGTAAACTTGTTTCTGGCATCTTGCGCGCAGCCCTTTAACATTTAAGCCAGACACTTTAAACGTCTGTCATAACAGAAGCAATGAAGGGTCTTTACCAGCCCATAAAGCAGCAGCGCTACGACAATGATAGTAGCAGTGACAGTGACAGTGACAGTGAAAGCGGCAGTGGAAGTGGAAGTGGAAGTGGACGTGGAAATGGAAATGGAAGTGGCAGAGCACATAAAGTAGGACGTTATTTTAATGACGTGTATAACTTTAAAATTAAATTTCATCATCCTGCCAACTGACAACATCTTTTGATGGCCTCGTCGTACATAAGCTGCAAAATTGTGGTCCTTCTTGCGCATAAAATAATTTTCCCCCTCCACTTCGTTATTCGAACGACACAATATGGAATCAGTCAATAAAATATAACAATGAAATCAATAAATTAAAGGGTCAATTTTTGAGGCTTTTATTTGGTAGGTTTTATGTCTTAAATTTGAATAAAATTAAAATTCATGACGCAATGACAATTATGTTGTCGCCCTTGTCGCCCTTGTCGCCCTTGCGAGCTCAATTTTATTACCACTTCTCAAAGAATACAAAAACATGGAGTGTTGTTGTTACTGTTGCTGTTGCTGTTGCTGTCGCTGTTGGTGTTGTTATTGGTGTTGTTGTGATGTTAAATATGCTTAGACTTTTTGGTTTATTTTTGTTGTTGCTGACGCCTTTGCTTTATTAACCATCTGCACTAATTTTACGATCTTAATTGCTGTTTTTGTTTCTTTCCTATGTTTTGTCTTGCTTTTTACTTTCCCTAATCTTTTGATGAGACAGATTAAAGCGTAGATTAAAAACAGCCTCTGAACCCAAAAGAGAAAACGTAATTAAAAACATTTCTGATTTTGGGCACAAAACCCCACAGCGAATTTGTTGCGGCAAAAACGGAAAAACAATTGCCTCTTCGGTTTTTCTGAAACCTAAAATTCTTCTTTGAAAATATTTTTTTATAATGAAATTATATACAGGGTGATATAATAATATTGCAACTTTTCAGAACACTTGCAGTAAAAAAATGATTAAATTTCTTGAATTTATTCCGGGTTTTCGACATAAAGTATAGTTCTAAGTCGATCGACAAATAAGACGTACACTGAACAAATCTATATCTATGGAAACTTCATCCATTTATGAAGAAAGATCTTGAACAGAGACCTTTGTCTCTGAAACGCTCTGCTTAATATGAAAAATTCAAGCGAGTTTGTATCTGATGACCGTGAAAGCTATTGTGTGATCGCTTAGCCATTAACGCTTACTATGCAGAATATTGTTCAAAGGTCTGTGGTTTTCAACAACAAGTGGGAGAGAGAGAGAGTAGTCTCCACGTTTTTGAGCATCTGTAAATACCGGTAGAGACTTGCACTATCCTTAAAATCACGATACCTAAATATCAATGAAGAGCGACCATCAATGACCGCACAAAACCATCACTAATTTCGCATAATAAACTATCACACATGGTTCGTATTGTCTTCTGGTAGTTATTCGAAATTTCATATTTCCTATAGCCTCTCTCTAAAATAAATTCAATTAATTTTTTTTACGAATTGTCTAGGCACACTAAACAGTCAGAAATAGTTGTGCTTACCTATTGGTAGTCAATCAAATGTTCACATTTTGCATTATCCTTTTTGTTGAATAAACTCGAATATATTTCTCAGAAATTGCTCAACTAGGAAGTTCATCTCATCAATCGCAACAGTTCTTACGTTCTGACTGGTTGCAGTGTCTGTTCCAGAAAGACAAATAAAATTCCCATTCTAATACTACATTCTAGATCAGGGCTGTCCAAAACAGATGCGATCGCGAGCCAATATAAATCACTGTATAGATTGGGGGGGCCGCAGAAACAAATACATACGTTCATAGTTGTTTTAGTCAATAAAAATACGGATATAATGTTTAATTTAGTTTTATTAATTTATCAATTTAAATTTATTTACTTGGTATATCATGAAAATAAAATAATGTAGTTTTACGAGTACACCAAAAGGAAATTGGCGTAATTGTAGTAGATTAAAAACATATCGCGGGTCGAGCTTTGGACAACACTGTTCTAGATAAACTAGAAGTCTCCAGTTGAGTTTATGTAGATTAACTGAACTTTTATTTTTTCCGATCAGCAATCTGATAGACTGTCAAGAAAGAACTCCCTTAAAAAATTCGTTTCTTCTGTCAGTTAAAGTTGAGCATTCATAGCAAAACTATGACTTTAAATATGTGATTGTCTCTATTTTTTCAAGTTTCTCTAACTTCTACAATAAATGTTGAACGGATGGCGTAGATTCTTTGAATGAGTTTCTATACACCAATGACCTAAAGGAACTGCAACTAAACTAACAGTGTCGGCTAAACCTCTGTTAATAAGTATCCTGGATATGGTCTTTATTGTTTTAAAGTCTCAATATAACTATATTTAAAAAAATATTAAATTGTCAAATCAGGATTGGAATACAGCTCTCATTAACATTATGTGAGGATTTATATTACAGATCCCGATGACGTCTGGACAATAAAATCTTGCATGTGTAAGCAATTTAATCTATACTTCTATACTGTAAGATGCCAATACTAAGTGATATTTCACACGATTTGTTATAGAAAAAAAGTGGTCGTACCAGGCTAGTTGATAAAAGCGGTACAGTATGCCCGCAACTAAAGCAAACATCTAATGCTTTAAATGGTAAGCTGCCCTATTTAGCACTATCTAATCTCAGAATGATCTCTAGCCGCACAGAGTGGTACACAGATCTTAGATCAGTCATTGAATAATCACGAAGCTTATGAGGAATACATAAATTAGTCAGTGAGAAGGGTGGGACTCTGCAGAAACCTCCCAGCTATCAAAGAGTAAAAGTGTCCAAATGCAATAACTTGGAAAAGACTCAACATCGACTATAAAACATATAACTTGCTTAAGCTGTGAACGCCCCCCGATTGAGACATATTACATATTACAAAAAAATTTCATCGAGACAATGCGATAGGTCAGATTTCCATAAATGATATCTACAAATATTTTTTTTATGGCTTGATAAATGCATATTAAAAGAGTCCTAATGCAGTGGATGGATTAAAAAAACTGAAGTAGCCATGGGTGCTAGTGTCTATGAAATTAAATAAATTTAAATGTTTTATGATTGCTAAACATGGAATGTTGGTTCTCGACTGGTAAATATAATTAAACATATAAAATTTTTTTTTGGTTCGAAACGATTTATGTTTTTAAATATAATCAAATTTATTTTATTGCATAAATAGTGAAAAAAAAATAATTAAAAAAAATTTAAAACATTGGATTTGAAACATAACTTAATTGTACATAACACAAAGTTTGTTTTCTTCCTATTTGAAGAGGAGTATGGGTGGGTATAGACTATATTCGCTTTTGAGAGTTGCTCTTTTTATTGCACGCACATATAAAAAGGCCATTGATCTATGGGTACGCCCACGGTTCTTATTGTGCAATTTGATATATATAATATAAATTTTTTTTTTAACTCAAAACATATTTTAAGGTATTTAAGTATTGAAATAAAAATAGTTCACATTTTCTTGAACAGAAATATAAATTTCATTTCCTTATTTAATATTTATTTTCTTGTGATGTATTATTAAAATTTGCAGTTAAATGAATGATGCATCATAAACAGGAATAGCCTCTTTAGTTACTTATATATATATATTGCACAGGAAGGAATAAATAATTTAAAGGTATGAATTATCATTCTTTATTTTTTTTTTTTAAATAAAAATTTTCATATTAGAGAAACAATTAACATGATGTTAGTTGACACTTTTAAAATAGCCGTTTGAAGCACAATTTTGTATCTTCGTGCCATAGTTTGACATACGTATCTCACTGAAGCTAGGAATGCCTAAGCATGGATATAAACCCAAGACAATTCATAATAAAACCACTCGAAACTTAACACGTACTCCAAATATCTCAAATACAAGCTACGCTGCTAGTACCCCTAGAGCTGCGATGAGAACAGTTGTTACTAAAGTACCAAAGAAACCTAGACCTCAAAATAATGAGAGTACGACAAACACTCAAACAGTTTCTACTGGAAATGGTAATGCTAATAGAATCAATGATAATAATGGTAATAATAACGTGAATAGTAATGGTAATGGTAATAATAATGTGAGTAGAAATAGTTACACTAACTAAAGTTATAATGTTAATAAAATTTGAATTATTTATTTTGTACAGGTATCCACTGCACCTAGTCAGCCAGAACGGAATGTGGGCGATACTACAAAAACCCGGAGGCCAAAGTCTATACTTAAAAAGGAAAACTCTCCTCGAACTAATAAACATGTAACATTTTCGGTCTCCGTTAGAACACACAACAGTCATGGCACAGAATAATAATGGTAATGACAACACATAAAAAAGTATGAGTTTCTTGCTAGAAAGTAAATTGAAGAATTTGAAAAAAAAAAAGAATTTCAACTTCAGCAATAAAAAAAAAAAAACGAAACAAACTGTACAATTCTTGTACTCGAACCAGAGAGGTTTAATGTCCATTCATGTATCCAACTGATGCTACCTACTACTACTACTGTAAGATAATTGGTACAATAAGTATGCGTCTTATCGTAATAAATGAACAGTCACTCTCAAACTTATGTTCTGCACAAGGTTGTAATATATCGAGACGAACAAGGAATAATCTGATTATAAGAATAAATTATAAACTGTAAGAGTGACACCTATTATAGAGGCTATCCTGTTATGAGCATAACTTTACAAATCATTAGCGAAATAAGGCATTTCTTAAAATTATGAAGCGAATAAAACTTTTTTTAAACTGTCGGTCATATAAATGGACTAAATCCGAAGTAGCCATAGCCATAGCCATTTATTTAAATTATTAAAACCAAGTTTCCAGATTAATAATGTATGTTTTACAAAGACTATTAATATGCAATAAACTAGACTGTCCGTAAACCTGGATTTTAATTGATAATATTTCATTGATTGCAACCAAGATGCTTAGGCAGATATGTAGCCTAAATCTTCCATAATCTAAAGATACTGCTCATAAGTGTTTGTCAACAATTATTTCTAAATACTTTTAAACGAGTTATAACGATTTTCGGGCACACCAATGACATAATGGTTGTTGGAAGTGTCAGCTATTGTAAGCAATTTTTTTCTCTACGCTATATGCCAATAAACCTTACTACAGAAGATGTCGAGATTTAAGGTTATAAGCTTTTTACATTGATTATACTAACAAAAACAACTAAGCTCGCCTTTTAGCGTCCACTATTATATGTGTTGAAAACAAAAATGACGAGTAGTAACATTTCTCAGATGTTTATGAACGTTTATAAAAGTCTTTAGAACAACATCAATACATTAGAAGCGATATAATATTCTTCTAATTTTTATAATATAGACCTTGATATCTTTAAACATAACTGGAACGTTACTCTATATTTCTTGAACTACATGGTACAAACCCTGACGAGATTGATTCTCAATTAATAACTGAACATTACGTCAAGTGGTCTTGGAAATGATGAGCTTTCATCGAATATAATATCACATACCTTTTATTAATTAGTGTCATATGGCATCATATATTTCAAACGCATGGAACAGGACTAAAATAATCCTAATTAAATAGTAATAGAAAGGAATCCACTTGTGCAGACTATCATCATACCAGCTTTTTTTTCCATTGCCTTATTTTAGCTGTATTACTATATAATCTTTAAATATATGTCTTTATGCTTACATACTAGAGATTCTAGATTTGACTAAGTATAGGACTCCTATCATTCTTTATTAATACTTATGTGGTTTTTACTAAAGTGCGAAGGTGTTGATATATTTTTCTAAACAAGTTGGTTATTTTAGATGAACTTGTATGTAAAATTAATTTTTATTTATCTTACGAGCGCTTCAAAATAAATTTACGTTTAGTTGATGATGAAGTGGTCACTTAACTCATGTGATTTATTCCATTTAACCCCATTTTATAGTAGGGTAAAGCTAATGGTTGTATATATGCAAACAATCGTCAAACTCTATTATTTATGTTGAAGCTATTTGAGCCAGTGCACTTGAGCACTTTTACTCTTTCTTAACTCTTTCTTAACTATTTTCAAAATCCCTCTTTACACCTTGATTGAACTATTGTTTATCACTTCATCAGACTAAGCAATAATTGACGTCAGATCTGCATACCACCCCGAGGAATCTGTAACCATTCTGAGATTTGTCCTCGATATATTTTTTTTTATTTGTGTGGCTTTGCACTGTTTCTTTGGTACTCGGAGATCATAAATACATATATTGAAACAAAAAATTTTAATAATCTTAATTTTAGTCGTAATTTACTGTCATAACCTCAAAATTGAGTACAATCTTCTGGAATGCCATTAAAATTTTAGCCTTAATTATAATAGAAAATCCTTGGCATTATAGCGAAAAAACTGATTTCTTTAAAACCTGATACAAATTTTTATTTGATGAAAATCGTTAAATGTCTATATAGTCGTATTATGATAATAGATTCTAAAGCTGTTGTAGAACTGTAAAGCTGGAGGTTCCACAGAACTGATTAATTTTGTTAGGCTCTTTAATCTACTGCTAAGTTGTTTCAATCAATATCATTTAATTTAATTGAAAATTATTTTATCTCCTCTTCTAACTTTTAAGCGCACCATATAATATACGTACTATGACAGACGGTAGAAAAGTTTTGACAGCACCCACTTTTCATAATCTAGCAATTTAATTACTTATAGTATGAAATATAAACTATATGTGGACCTATTTCTAGTGAAGAGTCTTTACGCCGATGTCATATTTCTTACAGTATTCTTCAGACATATATGAACTTAGTGGGTTTCTGAGATAATGAAAGTTTATTGCTTGTTTTTGATACTTATAAAATAATCTGTAGCTTATGAAGTGAAAATATCAGTTGGATGTCGTATTGATAGATAGTTTTGTTTATTGTAGAATTTTGAAGGTCTTTGTTATATTTTGTAAATGTGGAAAATTATTTTCATGAGGAGGTTATATATAAAATTAAAGCGTTGTTCATTTCCTTGACTTTGTGTGAATTTTGTTAAACTGTGGTTATTTCAGTTTGTATTCCATGTACCTGAGATTGTATATTGCCAATTGTTTAAAAGTACGGTTTGTCTGAAACTAAGTTTAGTCCTTTTGAGATTTAGGTAGGAAAATGAACTTACTGCCTGAAAGTCATAACCTTTACAACATTGATTATTTATTGGTCTTATCATGAAATTATGAAAATCTGACATGTTTGTTATTCTTCTGTTTTGAGTTTTCAGTTTTAAGTATTGATCTAATTTCATTTCGTCTTTCAGATCTTGTCATCGTGTTTTGTGTTGGTCTACTAGAACTTGTGTTTTGAATATTCGAACTGGATGCAGGACGTTGTCTTTCTAAATTAGCAGTTGTCCTTCTACCGCTACTTGAATTTGTAGCTGCCCTTCTCCTTGTATTATAATTTCGGTATACTAATGACGGTACTGGTTTAGGTGCTGTAAACTCATCTCTTCGTGGTAGCGGTGCTTTGGAAGCTGGATAAACAAATGATCTTGAGCTTTTAAGATTTTTCTGGGTTTTTGAGTCATTTGAGTTATGTGATCTATTTTGTGCGCTATTGTTAGCAGTTGTATTTTGTCGGTAACTATCAGCTGCAATTTCTCTGGAAGTATTATCTGAGTCAATATTATTAAGTCTCCAAGAATCAACACTATTTTGACTAGAAGAATTAGCTATAGTTTGTGTCGAAGAATCAATATGATATAGTCTTGACCCACCAACACTATTTTGTCTCGAAGAATTAAATGTAGTTTGTGTCGAAGAATCAATATAATTTTGTCCTGAACTACCAACACTATTTTGACTAGAAGAATTAGCTATAGTTTGTGTCGAAGAATCAATATTATTTTGTCTGGAATAATTAACTCTATTTTGTGTCGATAAATTAACATTATTTTGACGCAAAGAATCAACATTGTTTGGTCTGGATGAAATGACTCTATTTTGTCTCGAAGAATTCATATGATTTTGTCGCGAAGAATCAACATTGTTTGGTCTGGAGGAAATGACTCTATTTTGTCTCGAAGAATCCATATTATTTTGTCTCGAGAAATGAACATTATTTGGTCTTGAAAAATTACCTCTATCTTGTGTTGAAAAATTAACATTACTTTGTCGCGAAGAATCAACACTATTTGGTCTGGAAGAAATGACTCTATTTTGTCTCGAAGAATCCATATTATTTTGTCTCGAAAAATGAACATTATTTGGTCTGGAAAAATTTACTCTATCTTGCGTTGAAAAATTAACATTACTTTGTCGCGAAGAATCAACACTATTTGGTCTGGAAGACATAACTCTATTTTGTCTCGAAGAATCACTATTATTTTGTCTGGAAAAATGAACATTATTTGGTCTGGAAAAATTAACTCTATCTTGTGTTGAAAAATTAACATTACTTTGTCGCGAAGAATCAACACTATTTGGTCTGGAAGAATTAACTCTATTTTGTCTCGAAGAATCCACATTATTTTGTCTCGAAAAATGAACATTATTTGGTCTGGAAAAATTAACTCTATTTTCTCTTGACGAATTAACATTATTTTGTCGCGAAGAATCAACATTATATGGTCTGGCAGAATCAACTCTATTTTGTCTCGAAAAATGAGCATTATTTGGTCTGGAAGAATCAACTCTATCATGTGTTGAAAAAATAATATTATGTCGTCGCAAAGGATTTTGTCTCGAAGGATCAACATTATTTCGTCTAGAAGAATCAGCTATTGTATAGTGTCTAGAAGTACCACTTGCAGGTTTTGGCCTAGAGTTATCCATATTAAACCACCGTAACGGTGTGTAGTTTAGTCGTATTATTACATTTAGATTGATACTTCTAGTTTATACTCTTTAAAGACTTTGAAACATTTTAGGGGTTCAACGGACCTATGAATATAACTACATATGCTTTTGTAATTAAATAAGTAAAAATTAACTCATACCTTTTTGCCTCTATTGTTTCTTCGAAACACCAAAGATTATATATTCATAGACTCGAGTATTATATATACCTCAGATGTAATTTCAATAAGAATTTAGTAATGTAAGAGCATCGTTAGTAAATAAAAATCTTTAAAACTTTAAAATGTCAAATATAAAATAAAAGAAAAATTTTAATTTTATAAAAAAAGGATAATTTGATTAAAATTCTAGGTAAACATTTGTATAAAGAAGTTTTCGATATGTTCAATATATTATACCTTTATGCAGTTATCTTCTAACTTACATATGTCGTAATTTTAAAAAATTTAACTGATTTATACTAAAAGTTAATCTATTATTCTATTATAGTAGTACTTAGTTACTTCTATACTCGTATATAACGAAATATGTCACTATTCTTACTCTTTATAAATAAAAGAAAACAGTTAAACTTTCTCAGAATTGTTTCTCAAAGCACAATTTAGAAAATAAATATTTACATACATATATATATATATATATATATATATATATATATATATATATATATAATATATATATATATATATATATATATATATATATTAAATAAATATTCACACATATCCTGTCATTATATATAAGTTTCGACGATATACATAATATTGAAAAATCATCTACATTGTAAATTCGTGAATGGTTCTAGAAATCATACAGGTTACTAAATTGTAGCAGATCACATTCAAGAAGTCAACTACATTAGCAGTGGGGAGTCTGTAGTGCAAGTGATTTTGAATCTTTTAAATAATTTTCTGACTTTATTGATATATTATATTTATTAGTCAAGCTTCGAATTATATACTTAATAAAACAATACTTAACTCCTTAAAAGGAGAGTGAGAGAGCTATTATGAACTAAACTTAAGATCCACTTTTGGAACCGGAATCTGTAATTGTAATTGTTCATCTTTATACCTATTATTGTTTAGGGTCTTAAAACAAAGGATATTATAAGATTTGCTAATGTGTGAGTTCCAATTAACTAGGAGAAGATTCACAAAGAATGGGACAATGGATATTATACGTGATGAAATGTTGTTTATCTGATAGGTTCAGAGTATTAACACAAAGAATAAGGCTAACCAAGTTTTTGGATCCAGGTTTGATAAAAAAATATTCTACAGGGATAGGACAATATAATAAAATCAAGACTTTTGGTCCTTCTAAAATTAATAAAATCTCACAAAAAAAAAATCCTACACAAAAAAGAGTAAAAGGGTAACTGTAGTTTTTTTAAGATTTTAAACGAATGATAAAAGAATGATATTGGAAAAATATTTAGCACAATTTGTTCTTAAGTTTATATGATAGAATATATACAATATTAATTATATTAGTTCAGGCTTATATATAACTGTCATGTCAACTGCATGTCAAGGTATAGGTCTTCTTTTTGTTTTGGTATGTATTTAAAATATGGAACTTAAGCGTAATTTGAGAATGTGATCTATGATTTATTCAGATATATTATTTATATATCACTCAAAAATAGTCCAGCGTATTGGGAACATGCTTTTATTAGAAATTTTTTTTTATTTTTCAATGTATTCGATTATAGTTTAAGACTCAAATATCTACTAAAGATTGGAAGTTTTGCGGTAAAAGGAATATTGTCTGGTTTAAATTTGGATATAGCTCTTTTACATACTGATTGTTTCGACTTTTATTATATTATATTGTACTTACTGTCATCCACACCAAAAGCTTTCCCAGCCTTTAAAGTTGACGATATATAAGCGGAAATAAAAAAGTTATTGCAGCTCATATAAGCATTATAATATATTATATGATATGTAGGTATGTGATTATATATTGTATTATATATATATGTTATTGTATATTATATTATATGTATGTTAAAATATATTATATAATGTATATTTTATAATATATTATATTGTACATATTTTATAATGTTTTATAATATAACATAATATAATTTGTTATAATACATTAAGTTATAGAAATGTGGTAATATATTATATTATATATATGCATATTTTAGCATATATATGTACATATATATATATCTATATTAAGTATAGATACAATTATCGGTGTAAAGTGTGGCGAGGTTTTAACAATGTCAAAGCCTTCAGCTTTACTTGTTATTAAACGAATTGAAAGTGAAATCATATTGGGTGTAGTAAAAAGTATTCGCCGTTTTTGTCACATTTTCAAAACAAAAAAAATTCCTTTATTAAATATTAATTTTAATAAAATTTATATAGGTTATTATTGATTAGAACCTATTTTTCGTTCTATTTTTCGGACAACTTTGTAATTCCATCGGTGTAGGGCTTCTATGGTTTATATTTAGATTCTTATCAGCTTACAGACCCGAAGCTGATAAGAATCTAAATATAAACAAAAATTTAAACAGACGATAAACTACATCATATCTTCTATGGTTTATCGGCGAAAAACTTTTATATAGTACAAATTGGGATATGTGATTTCTATAATTATTAAAGATTAAACTATTAGAGATAACCTGACCAATCATACATTATTAAACAAAGGAAGAAAGATATTATTGAATATTTCAAAACTAATTTATTCATATATATGTCCAGGGTATATCCTTAAATATAAATGTCTGATACATATAAGGAATACGTGCAAATTCATTGTTGAATTTGTATTAAATTTTCTATATACGTATATATACAATGTAAGCATTTGTTTCATTATAAGTTATTTTTTGCCATTTGATTTATATTTATAACAGCGAAAGACTGCCTTTAATAAATTACCATTATTAAGGCAATTTTGGTAAAAACATATTTAAACGCTTTGTCACCATCATACTGGTTAGAGTTACCAAAAACGAATATGAAAACAAACCAAAAACAAAACAAAAACAAACAAAAAAAGAAAAAAACTAATAAAATAAAAAACCAAAATATGAAAGAGACCAGACCAGCATATCCTTAAGGATTTGTTTATATTGCGTAACGCAATGTCATTTCTCATGCGCCATTGACAATAGCTCCCAAAGGACAATTTATGTTACTGCCATAAATGAGCTTAGTATCCAACTGTATATGTATCTGTATCTTTATAAGTGTTACATTCCCTATAAATGTGGTACCGGCCCACAGACCGTCGTGTGCTCACGTGGCAACCAAAAAACCATAACCATCGTCTTACTGCAAAAGATAAAATAAAGCAAATTTAATGACACTTGGCTAAACTAAATTTGACAAAGGTGATAAATACCGATAAATGTGCTCAAGTATGTACACTCACCAATATATACATACCTTATCTACATTTGTAGTTTGATACTACGAGTATATATACACGTACTCCTATATAAGTTTTTATATGTATATGTACCAAATATGTACAGAGCCAAATGTGACTCTATTTGAATTGATTTCGTCTTTGTACCGGTGCCCGTACTCGTACCCGTACCCATTCCCGTACCCATACCCGTACCCATCATACAGCTTAACTGTTTTTAAAATCCTTTTATTTGTTGACTTGTAACTATATTTTCCTTCAATTTATTAATTGTTTTCGAAAAAAGGAGAAATCAATTTATCAAGGAAGGTAGCCGACATCAATAGAAATTTGCATTTAAGCACGCCTTTGTACGTATTCCCCGTTGAGTTATGACAACTGCTGGTTCATTTGTTTATGGTAGTATTTCATCACCCGGTGACAAACCATAAAACAGCAACAGCCAAAGGAATGACATACCTACACCAATATCAGGAGCAAAAAGCTAAGTGACAAAAATATTGACAAAAAACTTGATAGAACACACAAAAGAATTATGAACAAAAAAATATGCCGAACAAAGGACGTATATCGCACGTTTAAGTTAGGGTTCTTCGGAGGATACATCATCTAATTCAAAGAAATGCTGTGTGAATTAGTATTTTATGAGCAGGTGACTTTAGATACTAATTTCTTTTAACTATAACTATAGGGACTTTTGAACTAACATCCTTAACAATTAAACTGCAGATTGTAATGAAATTAATTAATTATTTAAAATCTAAATAAATTATTAAATTAATATCTACCAATAATTTACTGATTAGCGGTCATACTTTGGTTGGTTGGTTGCAGTGGCAGGCCATTAGATAACTTCAATGGCGATTTTTCACCGTTTTGCTACCACATTCCTCACAAGAACCCTAGTATAGAAGAGTAGAGACTAAATCCATTCCGCCGAATTTAGGTAATTTAATAGGTCTTTCATCTTCATCGTTGAGTAGTTTGATAAACTATCACAGTAGTATTTTCCCAAGAACCTATGTCTTCTGGACGCTAAAACTGGGTATTCACAGAGAAAATGTATTATTGTTTCTTTCACCTGCGGGCTTCCACAACTTCTGCATTGAGGGTTATGGAGAATACGCAGTTTCTCTGCGTGAATTCCTACACACCAATGACCAGTAAGAATTACAGTAAACCTTGCAGTGTTCACGCGATCTCTTTTAATAAGTTTCGAGGATTTATTTTTGTTACAGGTAGGCCATGTTAACCTGTAAGTTGCACATGACCTAAGTGCTTTCCATCTGTTATTGGCAAGTTGCAGAAAGTAGAGGAAGGTACTTCTTTTAATGGTCTCCAGGGTAATATAAACTAGTACTGCCAGTGACGCATCTAGGGAGGCACCAGAGCGGGCTTAACAGTCATCTTTCTCGTTCCCCACGATGTTCCTATGTCCAGAAACTCAGATGAAGCTGATATCGGCCATCCGATTTATATCTTATGTTACACTTCAATTGCAGAAAAAAGTATTATTGTTCAATAAAATCGACAAAGTCAGATTAAATATCAAATGGCAATCTTCTATCAGAGTAGTGGAAATGTTAACGATTAGAATATCTAAATAGCAATTTAGTTAGAATAACTTCATTTCAGCAGTCTTCGGTTCTTCTCTAAATAGGCACATTTCCCGGCTAACACATTAATGCATTTCGAAACTTTTACCGGTCCGTGTTGAGAGTTTTATTTTGGATACTTGGGTTGATAATATTTAAATACAACTCATTGATAATATGAGAATGACGGATACCATTTCATATATGTGTAAAAAAATCAATAATCAATTTAACGAGTT